TCTTACGAAACATCATTTGGTTTAAGTTTGCTAACTTTTATCTTATCAAATACTAAAGTTTATATACTTAAGCATAAATTTGTAATAGATTCTGAATCCAAACATGGGGTTATGACTTATGTTATATAACATTTTAAGTGGCCAAGTTAGAAATTCGTGTCAGTTACGATATAGCGTATTAGTTATTAAATGGCTTATGTCTGTAAATCTGTGGTAAGAGCTTTGACCCTGCAACCTAGGGGTACTAAGTTTCATTTCCACCTAGAACAACCTGACATGAAGCAGTAGAGATATCAATTTTCATTGGGAAATATAGATATAAATATGTAAACATATTTACAAGTGAAAACCCATGCTTGATGTCAAGCTGTCTGAAATGGATGTCAAAGTCTTGAGTTGCAAGAACAAAGCTCTTACCACTGAGCTACGGAGACGCTTGAAATTTAAATTCTAAATTTCGATCGTTATATTTTTAACACAAAATTATGCTGCCATCTAGCATGGGAGCAAAATGTAGTATTAAAGTTTCACCTTCTAATATCAACACATATCACAGATGACGCACATATATATGTATTTGTATATATATATGTATTTATATATATATATATATATATATATATATATATATATAGTTTTCTCAATAATTATCATATTTAGAATTCTGACCTAAATATCATTTTTTTCTTCTTTAAAAACAATTTTATTCATTAAAAAATTTTTTTATTCTCAGAAACTATTTATAAAAATGTAATAAAAAAAATTACTAATTGGTGTATATTTTTATTTGTTATTAATAAATAATAAAAAAAAGGACATCTCATATCTTTAGAACGTTGAATAAAATAATAGATGTATATTAATAAATGATTTTTTTAAAATGCTTTTTTAAGATACATACGGAATGGAGCTTTGGACAAATAATTCAAAATAAAATTAAAATAGTGGTATGCTATGGTATCTTAAGGCAAATTGCTGGAACTTCCCGTATTGTAATTTAAAAATTTTTAAACATTTGGAAAATTTGAAAAATTCAAATATTGAAAAAATGCTTTTTTGAAAATACTGATATATTCTAAAAACTAAAATGTCTTGAATTTGTTTTTCTTTGAAAATTTTGAAAATTTTTTGAATTTTTTTTTATTGAAAATTTTGAAAATTTCTTGAATTTCTTTTTTATTGAAAATTTTGAAAATTTCTTGAAGTTCTTTGCCTTTGAAAATTTTGAAAATATCAAAATTTCTTAAAATTTATCTGATACCCATTCATTTCTGTTGATTCCAATTACAAAATATCTGATTTTCAAACGCCATTTCGAATTTTTGAAACCGTTAGACCTGGCTTTGCAAAAACTTAAGCAGCTCTTCATTACGCCAACACAAGTGGAATGTTTTTCTAATCATTTAAATTGGTTGCTTCGTTCTCTCACATACTTAAATGCCATTTTTTGCACCCTTTGCTCAGTTTCTCTGAAACGGCTAGACCAACCTTTTCCAAAAATAATCAGTACGTCTCCTTATCACTAGGATAAGCGATACTTCAAATAGGTTGAGCAGTGCTTCCAAAAACGTCGACAACAAATTTCATCCATACAATTGTACACACACATCCATTTTTTCTAAGGTATGCTAAAATGTTCAGAAACCTCTGTAACGTGAAGACATACAAAAAAATTTCATTCGATTTTCGGACGATTACTATAACATGCCCTTCTGTCTCGTATTCCAACAAAAAACGTCTTCTCTGTACCTCAGATGTCGCCTCTACTTTCTCATCAGAAACTGGAACTGATCTTTTATTTCCCTTATCGGCACACAATAGTTCATATACCTTTGAACTAAGTTGAATAAAGGCCAATTTGAATTGTTTGTTATTGTTTGGTTCTGATTGCGTTCACTGCTGCTGCTCGTTCAATTAACTTGTTTATCTACTGGACCAGAGCTTTTATCAAACAACAGGCTATTTGTAAGGCTGATAGGCCAGTGTGCAGGTTGAAGGTGCAATTAATTACAGCAGGTTAGGGCCAGATAATTGGAAACGGAATCTGGAAATACAATTTTCAACTGTTTTGACATTGTTTGCAATTTGGTAAAACATCTAAAATATGATGCAATAGAAATGTTTTGATATGTAGGATTATGGAAATGGTCCCTAGACAAACAAAGAGCATTGAATTTTTTAGGTTCTATCACGTTTAATGATTTTTATAAATCACATAATTATCAATAGAATCAAATGTTCCTAGATATGTTGCAAATCGGTTGATTCATGATGACCTAATTGTAAAAACCAAAAAAGGAGAGATCACCGTCTTTAGTCAAAAATATGAGTCGAGATCGACAGAATATCCTAACGCATGGTAAACAATATTTTTATTAAATTTATATGAAATATTTAGCCAAAAAATGAAAAATTGAGATCTTTGTATTAGTCTTTGTAATAGAAATATACAAGCTATATAGGAAATTAAAAAAATATGACCAACTAATGGAATGAACCATAAAGTAATGGTAATGAGTAGATAATTTTTCTGCAGTAACTTCATTGATTTCATATTGTGAAATCTCTCACTATATATCTTTATATTTGAATTGTGAAATATGATGTATTTAAAATATGATTCTCGTAGAATGCTAAATTAATTCAAATTATAGAAATAAATAAACAATTTCTTAACATTGAAATAAATCTTACTAAAATATTCATAAAAGAATATTTTATGAAGTAAAGCTATTCGGATAATATGAATAACGACGAGCTATTTCACCAACATCTAAAAAATGTTAAATTTACCCAAATAAATATTATAATAAATCGAGTTTTTAAGAAAATAGAGGATTTATTAGTGTACAAAACCAGCAATAATAAAAAAAACACTGCTCCTATTATAATGACAATGCATAAAATGGAAATAAGGTACTGCATAATAAGTATTTTGGAAATAATATCTAGAGATGGGTTATGTGAAATAATTTTAATTAATTATCTAATTGTAAATTAGAAATTGATTTGAAAGCTACAACTGTATGGTTTCGGATTTTATATATACTCACCTCAGCAATTTTGTTATCAAGCAGCATTGATATCCATTTTTTACTTGAAAATATAGATCCAAATGTGTTTGAGTAAAAATCGCCAATTTCCGGCATTGCTGTATCAAGTTAAATAAATATATCATAAATTTTAGAAAATTTTTAATAATCAAATCAAATCATTATAACAGCTCATAAAACACTTAAGTTCCGCTGTTCTAAAAATATTAAAAATAAGGAAAATATTCACATTGTTCTAATATCATTACTATTTTCATAAATAGACTAGTATAGAGCAGTTTGACTTTTCAGTTTCAACAGCACTAAAATAAATTCGACAAAAATGAAATGGAAATATGGGACAAATATGAAAAAAATTTACCGCATAAATCTATTGCAATAATTGTTATAATATTCCACAGATCTTGAATGTCATCGGATGAATTGCATATAAACTACTAATACACGAATATAGATTACAAACAAATTGTTTTATATTTTAATTATATGTGAACTTCTGATTCAGTTTCAAGTTCCCAAAATATATTTGAGCTTGTATTTGTGAGATTGTGCCTAACTTTTAAATTCTTTTCCAAGAATGAAACGAATGATATTCATGAGAATTTGATTACTAAATTGATTCGACATGATACCACAAATCTTGACACATGATATATGTGCGAACGTGAAAATGTGATTTTATAAGTTCCAATTTATTTGTGTCATTGAGTTATTCAAAACTTATAAGTAGTTTAATACATAAAAATATAATACACCTATCCAGTTTTACTTAAATGCATTAACCTCCTTTATGCTCTATATTAATTATGTTTACATAAATATAAAATTCACTAAAATACTGATATTTTACTAAAATTATTAGAAAATTTTACAACGAATATTAAAAATTAATTTTCGTCTCATTATTTGTGCAAAATTGATATTTTATATATATTTCTACTATGAACTAAAGTTTTAAATTTATTTTTAAAGACCGAGCTACTACTCTTTTACCATTACTTACGGATATTTTATAATCTCCAGAAACTTTAATGAGAGAATTATTATTCTATGCAGTAAATATTTTTAAAGTACTAAGGTGATGAATAATATATGAACTCGTTTTTTATTTAATTTTTTAATAATTGATAATAATGTCTTGGAATACATTAATCGCCATTAAAAATTGATTATTTTTTATATATACATAATAATAATAATAAATAGTCTGAAGGCAGGTCCATGGTGTAAAAGCACCACAAATCAATGATTTCTCATCACTCTCTTGTACCATTTTAGAACTATTAATCACTTTATATTCACTTTTATGCATGTTTTTCCAAACTTGCGCTTTTATTCTTCCTGGTCTTGTGCTTCGGCTTTCAGTTCCCTCCATTTTCTCTTTTCGCGTAAGTGATCAATCATATGCATTCTTCCTCTTCTCAGTTCTTTCAGTCCTTCTATTTTACTGTCAACGACGTGGTGGAGGTAGCACTCTTTTTGCAGAATGGGTCCGATCCAGTTTCCTTTTCTCTTCAGAATCAGTCTCATACATAAACTAATATATGATATATATATATATATATATAATATATATATATATAATATATATATATATTATATATATATATATATATATATATATATATATATATATATATATATATATATATATATATATATTATTCTCTATAATATGTTCAACTGTCCAATTAAGGACACTTAGCCAATTTGTTGATTTACAATTGTCCGCCGTAATAAGAACATTGTAGATCATAATGACATGTTGGAAAAACAACTCAATAGTTATTTTTCCATTTGTTATAAATAATGTTAACTATATTTTAATGATAATAATATAAACTTAAATATTTTCTTATAAATAATAACTAATGATATATAAATGAACTAATATTTATTTCTTTTATTTTTTCAGGTATCCTGTTAAAATTATAACTGAAAAATTACTTTTCGCAAGCAATCATGGTGAAAAATCCTGAGATTAATCGCTTCATCGGTAAGTTATAATTTTATATAATATATTTAGATATTTTTCATGATGAATGTGTGAATAAAACTAAATTCGTCGATATGACAATTTATTAAGATATTAAGATATTTATTAAAACCGGAACATATAAAATTAATTCTCATTTTGTAATATCTCATTACATTTCTCACAAGTCAGAATAATACTATCACTTGATAATATATTTTATCTACCACGGATATCGTGTTGAATTGATATACTGGGAGCACGAAATACATTTTATTAATTACACATATCATAATTTCGTCTCGAAGGATTTGATTTCACAGAATTTGATACTTACTATCACCAATCACCCATAAAAACGTATAGATAATACTGTATCCACAAGATAATATTTAGTTTTCTTGATACTATACTTCTCGGTATAGCATATGGTGGTATTATTACCCGGAATTTTCGGGCATGAGAATTTCCTTCGGAAACATATGTGAATTTATGACTCCATCCTACTTATGGCCCTGACCAGAAGGAAAAATCCTTTTTCATTGACAAGTGGGTGACGACGCTTTATGGAATATTATCACGAGCTCACGGACGGCTCGTAACTCACTTGCCGATAATCATAGCTAGGGAACCGAAAAATCTGTGAATTTCGAAATTACGAAAATATTCGAGGTGTCCAGTATTTTTAATATGAAAATTCTAATAGTGTATAGTATAGGATTCAAAGAAAAATTAACAGGTTTTCAACTTGTATGTAAATACCATTGGAATAAATTAATCACTTCAGTGTGAAAAATTATAAACTCGAGTCAAACTTATCAACTTTCTATAGGATAAATCATAGCAATCGCAAATATATCGATTACGCAAATTTTTATGTATCTTTACCTCTAAATGGATTTTGAACATTTTGGAATACCTTAGAAAATGGATATATGTATTTGTGTGTATTTGTGTGTGTGCGGATACAAATTTCATAGACAATTCGCTAGGAACACGGATAAACAAATTTGAATTATTCAAAAAACACTCTATTCGTATTGATGGGGAGACATGCTGATTAGTTTTTGTAAATGGCAGGTTTAGCCTTTTCTAATGTTTAAAGTACTTGTACAAACAAATGTCTTGAACGTTTTTGACAAGATGGAAAAACCGATTTGATTGATTCAAAAAACATTTTATTTGTATTGACTAAACAAAAAACTGTTTTAAGTTTTGGAATGGCAGGTTCAGCGGTTATGGTCTCTAAATAAAAAAAGGTTAAAAAAATGCCATTTGGCGGTGAAAAATATTCAAAAAACATATGCATATCAAATTATCAGATATTTTATAGAGATTTCAATGTTAGTACACTTTTGTCAATTTTTTTGGGTTTCATTCTGAGATGTTTAATTTTGAAGTTTACTCATATGATTCAAACAAATGTTCTAGACATTTTCCACATAAGAAACAACCGATTTGATTGATTCAAAAAACATTTTGCTTTGAAAACACGAGTTGAAAGTAAAAAATTGTGATATTTTTTCTGAAAATAATTAATATTTTTTCAAATGTCAAATAATTAAATATTTTTGAATTTTCTATTTTATACAATTATTAAATTATGTGAAATTTTTGAATTTTTTTATTAAAAAAATATTATAAATATTTAAATACATGATTTCTATAAATATATCGTCAAAAATCGTATTTTCGCATACCTCTACGTTTCAGGGGTTTCTGAATATTTTGGCATACCTCAGAAAAAATAGATGTGTGAGTGGGTGCTTGTGTGTGTGTATGTATGTATGGATACAATTTTTTATCCACGTTTTCGGGCGCACGGATCAACCGATTTGAATGGTTCAAAAAACATTCGATTCCTATTGATAGAGAAATGTGCTGATTAGTTTTTGGCAAAGGCAGGTCTAGCCGTAAAAAGATACAGAGCTAAATGTGCAAAAAATTGAGAGAACTAAGTGTGCGATTTTTTTTTATTTATGATTTTTTGGGTTTATAAACTAGAAGCGTCCGATTTGAATGATTCAATGAACTTTATGCTTGTTTTAACAAAATAATTGCTTTTAGGAATTTTTTTTTGTTTCAAATTTTTTTTTGTATATCGAAAATAATTCAAATTTTAATTTTAATTATGACTAAAGTTCTAATAAACTTTAAATAAACAATTTCAACTTTGCAATTCAGTTTATATAATTCTTATAAATACTAGACAATGTTACAGTATTTATTTATGATAATTTATTTGAAAATATTTAATATTCCTCGAACATTTCGTTGCTGTGCGGGAAGTTCCAGCAATTTGCCTTAAGGCAAGATGCCATACACCACTAGTTTTTATTAATTTTGTAAATTTTGAAAAAGTTAAAAAAAAAACAATCAAAAAACCTGGTTTTGATATATTTAAAAAATGTTCGTTTTCTTTTTTCTGCGATTACTATACCTTACCCTACGTAAAGTTAATTAGACTCCCATTTAACGTACTAGATTCTTTTTCCACAGGTAAAATGCGTTTCCTACCTAGTATTTATCTAAATTATTCCGTGTTTATTGAATCGTTTGAAATGTTTCAGACAGATGTCGATTTTGGTAATATTCTGCAATCCCTAGCCGACGGCTCTTGGCCTTTTTCACGCGTCTATGAATCGCCGATACATTTATCTTTCCTTCGACGGAGTTTATATGGGTGCATACCAATTCTTTCTATTTTCACAGCCTTTGAACGTGAAAGTATTCCATCAAAATCTGCGAAAGTTGCTTTCACAGGGAGGGAATGAATATCGAAAATTTTTGATAAAGGTTTCGTTTACATATACGGATATACATAGGTATCAAATATCTAAAGCATTTGATGATATATCGTAATGCTGAATTGTCACATTAGTCTCTGCGTTTAACATATATTTAACTATGTTTGTGGTTTGATCATTAACTTTGATATGCGGTGGAAATTGCCGTGATGGTTATGTGATCGGGTTACATCACAAATGTACCAATTTTGCGTCCCCAAAATGATACTGACATTCATAACAAGTATTTAAATTGAATTTATTAAAATAAACTAGTTGTATATAGCATCGTGTCTTAAGGCAAATTGCTGTAACTTTCCATACCAAAAATTAATTTTTTTTAATAAAGATTCAAAGATTCAAAGATTTGTTTATTATTTTAAAGAAAATAGATTTTTTTAAATTTTAAAGTTTTTGGGAAAATTGACCTTTGTCAAAAATTAAGATTATTATACTTTGAAATATTTTGGAAATTCTGATCGCAATACGTTAGCCGCGTAGAAAGGAAATATCAAAGCGCGTGAGCGCCGCGTCGCAGTCTAACTGATAAACATTGATACGGAACCCATAGAAATTATAACAAAAATTGTTCTTATTATTATCAAAATTATTAAAATATCTGTGAAATCAGGAGTTTTACACATAACACCTAACTTCACTTATGTGTTATCAAACCACATGCGGAAGATGTATGTATCCATGTCTGTACATTTTGCAGGTTAGGTTTTATGTGTAGAACACCTGCACAGCAAATAAATAGCTATTTGACATTACGTTAATACCAACTCATACGAAGATAGACTCGTAATATGGCATTACCATAACATACCTATTTTATCCGTAGCTTGGGTCGAATATTATCACAATTAAAAAAAATAACAAATTGAAAGTAAGTGGTATTTTTAGAACTGGAGTAGGTTGCACTGTCTTCATCATTAAGAATTGAGAATTAAACAGTTTCCAATTTGTCACGATAAAATTTTTCATCAATAATATATCAGTCGTCACACAGTTTAAGCATGATTAGGAATTTTGAGGATTGATTGATATTTTGTTAATTAAGCAATACAGTTGTTTAAGTTGAAATCCAAAGCATACAATGCAGTTGTTTTTTTCGACTAAATTAGAACATTTATAACAAAATGAGCAATTTCTATGAGGCTTACCATGCTAAACCCTTGCGATTTTAGCATGATTCAGTACAAAAATATGAATTCCTTTTCAACGAAATATCCTGACACATTTTGGGACGATTTCATGGGTATTTGACGTGAGCCCAGTACAGTAGTGAAGGAAATTTTTGACCGAAGTTCTTATATTCAAATGCAAAAATATTACAAATTTTCTTGTGATATAATTATAACATTTTATGGAAAAAATTGGATGTTATTGTCATCCAGCATTTAGTTAATAAAATATAAAACCTGTATTATAATATCAATAACTTCAATTATTTGTTCTAAATACTAAAGAAAAAATTTGGTGTGAAAGACTGAAGCGTAGATCATATGTAATAAACATGAATTTTTCGTATTACATATATGATGTAACATCATATTACAAGTAATGTAACAAACTTACTTACATATCAAGATTTACAGTAAAATTGATTTGCTACTACTTTTTTGTTCTATTTATTTAATTCAATTACGTTATTAAAACCATTGAAAAATACTTCTATCAAGTGTAATCTCATGAAAGCTGCAAAAAGCATTTTTTCAATATTTTATAAAATGTGTGAATAATATTTTTAAATTAAATACAGAATTGTTTATTTTACGTGTGCATACTGAATCGAAGAATATTATTCTACATTATTGATTCATTTTCACTATGTGATGCAAATATTCTATAAAAGCAGTGTTAATTATATACTAGAATAAAATAATTATTTTTAACTTCCCGTATGGTAAGTTATTGTATTGGGCCAAAAATCGAAAATGAAAATTTTTGTATATCTTCACGTTTCAGGGATTTCTGAACATTTTGGCACACCTCAGAAAAAATCGATGTGTTTGCATGTGCGAATGTGTGGACTCAATTGTTTGGTCAACGATTTTGGGCTAACGGATTAACCGATTTGAATGGTTAAAAAAAACATTCGACTCCTATTAATGAGGAGACGTGCTGATTAGTTTTTGACGAAGACAGATCCTGCGGCTTCGGAGATATAGAGTAAAGTGCTAAAAAGTCGGTTTTTAAGAAAACGAATCGACCGATTTGAATGATTCAAAA